AAGTGTGATATTCATTTTGCCAAAATAGCACTCTAAAATCCCTACAAAGTGAACTGTGAAAGTCATCTGGTGAGTCAGTGGGAGCCCTGGACACAAAATGCTAAACTTAACCACGAAGATGCTTAATTCTCACCTTGAAGACTTTCCTACATCTCCCTGGGCTTCTGATGAAAAGGAGGAGGAGTGTGTAGTTGGGTCATTTCCAAACAGAAAATATCCTTATTAAAATATTTGCATGTAAATACTGAAAACATTGATTCATAAAACAATTATGCCTGAAGAATCTAAAAGATTGAGACATTTAGTGCTGTTTTAAACAAAGTAATTAACTCCTAGTGTGTAAACTTCCTTCTCTCTGAAACCATTGAGGGAGCAGATGCTCAAATATGCATGGTATTAGATTAAGAGAATGCTGCTTTCTTTTCCTCCAGGCACCAGATGGTTCCAGAATCCAAAGGCAATGAAGAAGATAGCCTAAATTCATTTGGCTTAAGTGGTCTTCACTGAAGGTTTATGAGAAAGATCATATTTTAGTACCTAGCCAACAAAGGCAAAAATAATACCACAGCTGACTCCTATTTCTCACAGAAAAGAGGCACACTGTCCAAGAATTAGAAAGAATCTTAAATGTTATCTAGTCCATTTAGGACCATTGGTAATAAGGTACCTTGATAAAAGTAAAAATAAAATAATAATTACAAAGAACAAACAAATACTAGAATTATAAACAGCTCATTTTACTTTGTGTGTAATTTCATATTCTAACTCAAATATCAGGAAAATGTTTTACAAAATGAGAAAGGGTAGAAAAATATATAGTGCTCCTATAGTGAAAGAAAATTTTCTTACAAAAATTTAATATAATATCCTAGCAGTGTCTGAAGCTCAAATGAATAAAGGCAGTTCATTTGCATAAGGACACTTTGAAAGTATTAAAAAATCCAAGATGGAGTATGTGAAGCTTTTACAGTAGAAATGAGAAAACATTAATCCAACATGACATATTTTGGGCCAGCCATTATGTCCAAGGTGCTGGGCTAGGCATGAGGGTACAGTGGTAGAAAATAAAGTTCCTGCCTCCTAGTGGATTTCATCTGGGAAACTAGGCAGTTAAAGTATTAAGTGGACCCAGTTTCTGATTTATATGTCCTCTGAACAGCAATTTGGCAGGCTCTGCCTTTTCAAGGGAAGTGGAAAAACATTTCATTCTTCTTTGATAGAGAGATTTTTTTTCTTTAAAGTCCTCTTATGACAGGAACATTTATTAATAAAGAAAGTGTACTATAACTAAAAGAAAAGAGATTAAGTAAATTTTGGAAGCAATTCATCAGGGAGGTGAAGAGTAAACAAGGAGTATAAAGAAAGAAAAGTAAAAAGAAGAAAAGGAAGGCAGACAGGTGAGAAATGAGCAATTAAAAAAAAAAAGAAGATGAAAAGAAAAGTAGCCCAGGCCTTCAGGGGCTTGAGAAAGGCAGTGCAGAAACCCCTCCCCTTCCCCCACTCCCCGCCCCCGCAACTGAATGCTAGAGAACCTCAGATCCTACATACTCCAGACTGGACTCTTCCCTGAGAGTCTTGTCTTCCAAGGAAGAGATAATGAGAGATGGAGTTAGAGACAGGGAAGAAGGAGATGGAGAAAACAAGGGAAAGAAGATATATTTGCTTTCTGGATCTTAATTGCTTTCATATAAATTGAAACCAAATGAGAAGTGAAATGGAGTGAAAGAGATTCTTTTCAAACTGAAAGATTACTAAGGTAGAGGATTGCTCATACAAATGACAGAAAAATCAAAATCTGGTCTAAATAAAATATGAAACTGAATAACAAAGAATAAAATAACCAAGATTTAAAAATATGATTATAAAAATACATTAGCCCATTGTAATTGCTAAGATTGAAATTGTAACTGATTGGCTTGGTCTTAACAGCACCATGGTGAGGATGTAAGTTAATTTAGTAAAAACTATTATCATACACAGTACATGGTTATTTTGAAAATGTCCGAGATATAGAGCTTTGTTTCTTGGAGGCAATGATAGTTTATAATTTAGAACTAACAGAAAATTAAAATTCTGTAAAGAACATTTACAAAATTTATCTCAGGATTAACAATAAAAAGATTCATAGGTTATCTTTAATGAATTATACAACATACTCTAAAAGATTTCACATCAACAAAAAGGTTTTTTTTTTTACATATAGATTGCATTTTAACTTCTCCAAGTAGATTTCTAGTAGAGAAAATAGTTTCCTCTAGAACAAATAACTATTGGCAACAAATTAATGACTTCTAGAGATATACTAAATATAACTCACTGAAAAATCTATAAAATACAGGCCGCTGGTGAATAGAATTTTCCAAAGTCAATAACTACCCTCTTATTTGAAAAACATTCTAATATGTCTCGTAGCATCAAGGAAGTGATCTAATGTTGGCACTTGTTTTCCATTTTTGCTGCCCTAGATGGGAGTCTGGGGTCTATGCTATCAGGGCAGTAACCACAAAAAGCAAATGGGATGACTCCTGAGGATTTTTGTCAAAGTGTCTACATTCTAGACGTAGATCTTTAATAAATGGATCATTTCCATATTCCTATCACCTAGCAGAGTGCCTTAATCATAGTCTTTATTATGGAAATATCTGTAGAAAGAACTAAGTTCAAATCTTATCTCTACCAATTATGAGCGAGGGAACAGTAACCAACTAACTTATTTATGAATTTCAGTTTCTTCATCTGCAAAACAGAGATAAGAGTATCTATCCATTATAGTTATTGTGAAGAATAAATTAAGTTGCTGAAGTTCTAGGTACAGTGCTTGGAACAAAATGGAGCTCAGTGAATGATAGGTATTTATCACAGTGTCTTGGTATGTAAGTGGGAATTCAGTACCACATATGGCTTGTTGCTCTACCCACCCCTTTAGCTGCCTTCTTACATTTCGCTTCCACTTGGAGTTTTTGAATAAGGTTTTATTTAGATTTTGGATGATTAAATTCATTCTCAAAAAAGAGGTTGATTTTGGAGCCTTACAGGAATATAGCTTCTGGTCTTTGCCAAAAGGTTCAGTTCCATATATGTGAACTAACCAGATCAAGAGTGACTTTTCTGAGGGCTGTTGAGAATGACCTCAACCCTTTAAGAGTCATCTTGTGGAATTTTCTGAGGTTGAGTTGATACTGGTTAGTTCAACTGTCCACAGAGAAGTACTGGAAATCAAATTAGGTCAGCCTCAGAGTGGCCTTTGTCAAAACTTAGGAAAATGTTATCACGTGTGTAAAACTAACAAAGATATCAGCAAATGAACCGGTGTCATGGAGATGGTGCTTGAGAAATGGGCTTTACTCAGGTCTCTGCAGACTAGCACTTGACTAGGCTCTAAAATCCATTTCTCATGAGTATGTTGGGTGAACTGGCTGTAGGACTCCAATCTGACCCCATATAAGTTCCATGTTAATCCATAGGTGGTCTCCTGGTCATTTAGGAAAATCAAATATCTTCTCCAGGAGAGCAAAGAAGAAGAATCAAGAGCCACTTTTCCCAAGATTGTTTTTCCCCCCAAGGTTTCAAATTATTCTTATTTTCTTGAGGAGTTCAAGAGTACTGTGGTTTATCTAGCATACTTAGATATCATTTTAATAAAACCTGATAATGAAAAAATCTCAGCTCAAGCTTCTTTTACTAGGAGGCTTTTTTTTTTTCCTCTGTGAATTTTCCCCCTGAATTTCTAGATTGACCAAGCAGCTCTCCACAAATCTCCCCAAACACTGCTGGCTAACCTTTTTCTTAGTGCTTTCCAACTTATATCAAAATAATCTATCTGAGATCTCCACTAAACTAAAGGATCCTTAAAAGGCATACACACACACACACACACACACACACACACACACACACACACCATACACACATATATGTACATATATATGATATATGATATATATCATTACATATCTTTCTATATGTCGTCAATCTTTGTATCTAACACTTAATAGGCATTGCAGCTTATTGAATGAATAAATCAGTGGCTGATTATTCATTAACAGAGACACAAAGAGATCTCTTAAATTACGAGATTCCTTTGCATGCTTAAAGTGTATTTCAAATTATATAGTTTTTAGAAAACTCACATTTTTAATAAAATAAAGTTAAAATTTATACTTATATAAATTATTAAAATATATAATCAAGTTACCTGGCAGAGCATAGCAATGATCATGAGGTTGTGAGTTAACTCCTATGTTATTCCCTAGATTGGTCACATTTATGGAAGGTATTCAATTTATTAGATTCAACAGGAGAAAAAATATTTATAGTCCAACTTCCTCTCAATTGCTAAAGAATTCCAATTATATATGTGTCACATTCTGTTTGTAACAGTGAAATAATTTTTTTTTCCTTAGTGGAAGTAATTTCATTAATACTCAACTTCTGAGCTTCTCTTTTTGAGAAAAGATACCAACAGATTCATATAGAATTATTAACTGTTAGACCTGAAATCTTAGAAATATCCATTTCAAAATTATATTGAAGTTCTAAAGCAAAATTTCAAGTCTTTGGAGTTTACTCTCATATAAAAAAGAGAAATCTTTCTTTTTTATTCAAATAAATATGAGTTTTAAAACAATGCTGCTTGTGGTGTTATGAAATATGACTTTCTGTATTTGTAATGTGTCTTCCGTTCCTCTTGGAGTATATCAGGGAATAGTAATATAATTTTTGTGGCATGAAGGAAAAAATCCTTGTCTGTAAAACTTTCTGTAATGACGACAATAAAAACAGCAACAAAAAAAACCTATCACAAGATATTAGAACATAGATGAGATTATACTGCAATTAGCCATGTCTGTCTGGCAGATTTCTTTCTCTATGAGGGAAATTGTGCAGAGCGTTTTATTTCAAGCCTCAAAGACTTTGTATAAAGGAAAAAGAAAACTGCAATTTTTGCCACAAAAAGACAGGTGGCGTAAGCAGGCAGCATTTTTTTTTTTTTTAAATATATAAAGTGATTATTTTCTCTCGGGTTCTTTGAAAAAGCTCGCTTGCGTTCTGGTTTGTGGCTGAACACGGTGACGTCAGTGTGGCAGTGCAGAGTCAGGCGCCGCGGCTCCCTATAAGCCGAGGAGCTGTCCGGGGTCCTGAAACGGCCGAACAGCTCATCCGGCGGACCGGGAGGAGCATGCTGTGGACCTTCTCTGCCATATAAAAAAGAGGTAAGACTGCTTTTCCCTTTGATTTACTGGAAAGTTCTAAATTGCTTGTTCTTGTCTTAATTCCTAGCAGAGAAGAAAAATATCGTTTGACAAGCTTATATTTATAGAATAACTGAATAGCAACCTGCTGCTCATCAGCCAATGTACATAGGTGATTGAATCTGTGATTTATACAACTTGTTGGATGTTTATTTACCATGTTATTTAGGTAGTCATATGTAAGAAGCGTGAAAAAGTTAAAAAATTTAGTATCAATACACATATTAATGTAAAGTTAACCAAACCCGAGATATATTTATTCTTTCCTTAATGTATTGATTTTTCCCCAAGAACCAGATACAAAGCCAGGGATATAATTTACATGCTTAATATTTTTCACAGTAGGTTTTCAGTGATTCAAAGGCTGTTAAACATATTAGTCATAGAGGCAGCCAATTTTGGAACTATTTTTTTTTCTCTGACATTTACCTTGCAAGAGCTCAAAATTAACTACCTATATAAAATAATTTTCTGAATTGGTATAGTCTGAAAGGGTTTACATTATTATTTCCTAATTTTAGTCCCAGGAAAGTATGGTTAGAATGATCTTGAATACAAGCTTCTTTCTTTAGGATGAAATATTATCTTGGGTTGTAGGTTGAATAGGACCATGAATTACAGAGAGATGATAATTTTGAACACATGATGAAACATACATAACTGTATAAACTATTATTATTATGCTTTAATTGAAAAAGGTTGTATAATATTTTGCTAAAAATTTTGAATGGGGCAAATGTTTCCTTTTTCTGTATCCTAACTAGTTGAATTGCTCAAATTAGGTATACTCACCTTTATTTGTCAATGCTCAAAGTCTAATTTTGATAGAAAAGAAATCTTAAGTTATGAAGCTTTAGTCCAAACCCTATATAGGATATCGGAGCTGTTGAAACCATCTTCACTATTTAGAAGAGCAGTTACCTGAGAAAAAAAATCTCTGAGTCTTACTCAAAGGCAATAACTATGTCATTCAAACTGAACCTTACAAATGACTGAAAGGTAGCACTTGTTAGGCTGAGTTTTAAATAACTGCATTGAGTATTCTGCCCCAACTCCACAGCAAAGCCCACCTACAAGATAATAATTTTAAATATAAGTACATAAGTCATATGTTAGGAATGTTTCAGGATAATGGTTTAAAAGAAAATAAGTTTACTAAGGTTCTTAAAATCACTATTTCAAGTGCCAATGTTGAAAATATATTACCAAACCTAAATTAATTCTGAAGTAATATAAAAAATGTATGATGTAGTTTTATTTAGACTTCAATATTTATGAATAAAATTTCTTTTAGTAAACATTGATTCATAGTAAATATTGTAGACGTTTTCTCTGACATGTCTTTAGAGATTTTTCTTTTAGTAAATTAAGTAGCCTGGTTAATCATCTAAATAAAAATATGCATCTGTTCTAAAGAAATTTCTATAACTACAATCATTTATGGGCACTAAAAACTGAAACATTACTTAAATACCAATATGACCGAGTAAACAATGATGATTTCTGCAACTGATATTTAAGCTAACAGAAACTTGTACCCACAGAGCTTATATATCACAAAACCATGATTCAGGTAAGATATCATTGACAGACTTATAAACTTCCTTTACATTTATTTTATTTGTAACAAAATTTCAAGTATTAAAATCATTGTTCAATGTTAGTAATGCCAAATGTAAAACATATAAGAACTAATAATCTCTGTGTTAATTCATATGTGAATAAGGCAGTGGGAAAAAAATGAATGAAGATTTTTAAGTAGAAGGAATTCAACACATCGTCTGTGTATATCTAAATTAGGAGTTTCATAGTGGTTATTTTAAGATTCTTTAACAGTATGAGTCACTTAAGATTTCACAGGTCCATACCAAAATAAACATAGACATAAGTCAAGCTGAATCTGAACACACATAAGTTCAGAAATAGACTGGTTAAGTAAACTTATGTTCTCTCTGTAGCATCTGTTATTATTTACTATACACTCTTGAGGGCTGATGGAAAATTTAACCACGATTGCTATTTGCAAGACACTGACAATAAGATTATTAGAAGAAATGTGGAGCACAGATATTTTAAAACAGGTTAATTTATTATTTTAATATGTTTAGACAGAAAGAAACTTCATTAGGTTAGCCTACTAGCTGGGACCTAAGAATATTCATGTTGTGGAGGTTGTTAATGTATACAGTTTCCAAAATTGATAGTTGAATCTCATATCAGGGTGAGAATAAGTTATTTCTGAAAAATGTATGTGAGTTCTACTCATCCACAAGGTAATATGATAGGCATTAGCACTTTATCATACATAATAATGTCACTGCTGTTGCATTTCTATAATAAAATTAGATTGACAGTTTAGGAAATAAACCACATTTTTTTATGCAACCTTATGGAAATAATTTAGTCTCTCTCTCTCTCTCTCTCTCTCTCTCTCAGGAAATAAACCACATTTTTTTTATGCAACCTTATGGAAATAATTTAGTGTCTCTCTCTCTCTCTCTCTCTCTC